AAGGTACTGGCAGGGTTGGTTCCTTCTGAGGGCTGTGAGTGAAGAGCTTTTGGTGGTTTGCTGGTGATCATTGGTGTTGCTTGGCTTGTAGAATCCTCACCGCAATCTCTGTCTTTGTGTTCATGTGGTGTTCTCCCTGTGTGCATGTCTGTGTCCCAAGTTTCTGATTTTTATCAGGACACAAGTCATGCTAGATTAGGGGTCCACTCTAGTTTCAATTGGCCTTAACTAATTACATCTGCAAATATTTCTAACCATAGAGAGAAATAGAAATGAAAAAAAATAAATAAAACCAGAAAGGTAAAAATAGCAATTCCAGGCACCCAATACTAGAGGCCTCCAACAATCTCTACTAACATTACTATGGTGTCTTTACTTGTTTGAAGCAGCTGAAGGTGGGTATGGGTCTAAATAAAGTCTCTTTTCTTGTGAGTTTAATAAGAAAATAGATTTCACATAGCTATTTAATATCACCTGGAGTTAAGAATGGGGATGTTGCAGTTGATATGTGGTTATTTGCTTATTTCTTAGGAGATTTTAGAGGACGGAATGCAGAACTTTCCCAGGGTAAGATGAAAAGGAAAATTGTCTGATCTGACTTTAAAAATACTATTAAAAATACTATTAAATTTCATTTGTTTCCTGCATGAGGGTAAGCTTGCATCATAAAATGCATTTTACACTTAATACCAGTTTATCAGGAAAACAAGATATTGTTTGAACTTATTCGCAATGTCATTTTTCAGGGTTTTTCTTTTGTCAGTTGGAAAGCTCCCCAAAACCCAGATTTTTTCTTATATTGGTTTTATAAGATATTGGCTTAAATACTATTAATGTCTGAACGTATTGATCATATCACTGAAAAAAATGGGTATAGAAAAGTCTGGTGGTTAAATACCAGATGTTAAAATATTTTTTTTTGTTGTTGAATTGAATTGATAAGCGACCTCTAACCTGAAAACCATAAAAAGCAGTCTTTTTTTTTTTTTTATAATACCTATGAAACACTGATTTTAATTTACTGCTCCTTGAAAGACCTGGGAATATTTGCATTGTCAGCAGCTTAAATTGAGCACAGAAATGATAACTAATTTAGAAAATTGTAAGATTATTTAGTCATTTACAATGTGTATAAGGTAATTAAAAACAAACTTCAGGAGGGTTAAGACCTCACTGTAGTTGGTTATTCTACAGCTGGGGTCACTGCCTAAGTTGTACGAAGGCATATGTTCAATTTACAGTTGTAATGAGGAACATGGGATGTTTTGATTCTTCATTTGCTGTGCTCATCTCTAGAGGATGCAATTGCCTATATTAAAAAATGAACATAGGCTCTTTTGTGGAGGATAATAAAAATGTGTAAGATAATACATGCCACATGCATATATGGTTGACATATGGCTGTTGTCTTTGGGTGTAGAATTGTTGCCCTTAGCTGATACCGTGCAGCAGCCACATGGAAATATTCATTATTAGCCACTTAGGAACGAGACCAGTTCCTTTGATCTCATTAGTTTGATCATGATTATTCCATTTTAACTAATACATGGTATTTGTAAAGGTATTTTCAGGAGATTATTCACCTGCAAGGGCATTTTGTGTTTTATTCTAATCAGTGAAAGAGAAATGCATGTTACAGAATTTTCTTTTGTCTCATTGTGAATGTATACAAGACGTAGTAAAAGACATAAAGCAGGTTTTTTTCTTTTTCTTTCTTTTTTATTCTACATTTAAAAAAATGAATGGCATTTGAGTTGCAGATTTTGTCTACATGTTGATATACTTGAAAATACTGGTACATGCTTTTGAGGTAAAGAAATACTTTTGACGTCGCTATGGTATAGTTTAATATTTAGCAGGATTACCTTCTGATTTAGTGAAAACTTGCATTCATCTCAATTATTATTCCATAAAGTTTGCAGAATTATAGTGATCCTGGCTACATTCAGAGCCCTTCTCTTGGCTTTAAAACAAAACAAAACAAAACAAATACAATCTTTCCCTTATAAAAAATACATAAAAGAAAAACATCTTGAGATGTCTCTGATTTGAACAAGTTAGCTGAAGGCTAATTAGAATTAGCGAAAAAGATAAGATTAGATGATATGTGTTTTGAAAAAAGGTAAATGTTTAAGTCAGTGATCTCATTTATTTTTATTATTTTTTATTATTATGTTATGTTAATCACCATACATTACATCATTAGTTTTTGATGTAGTGTTCCATGATTCATTGTTTGTGTATAACACCCAGTGCTCCATGCAGTGGTCTCATTTAAATAGAGGTAACTAAGAACCATATTTGTTTTTGATCTGTCCAGCACTGCCCTTCCCTTGGTACACTATTCTTCATTTCTTCAAATGTGTGGGCTGTCAAAATCTGCACCTTGAAGCTCTGTGGTCATGTGACTGAAACCTGGCCAATCCCAGTGTCCCTATGGTTTGTCAGACTGTTTGCTCTAGAGGTTGGGATGCTATCCACTCCTGGCCAATAACAGTCACACCTAGGATGTTTCCATTTGGGGATCTTGAGAAAAAGAGGTTTTGGGTTTTAGAGTTGGAAAGATGTAAATTGGTGTCAAGCAGTAGCCCAGCAAATAAAGCCAGTCAGAGGTAAGAGGAAATGAGTGCTGGGAGGAGGCAGAGTTTAGTTGCTTCATGTCCCAGTTCTGGTGGAATTCAGACCTGCCCATTTCTTTCCAGTATCCTTACAAAATACTCCCCTTTTTTTCTTAACTGCTTTGCTTAAGTTGCAAAAGTCCTGTCGAGTGAAATATATAAGAATTCTTAATCAACATGGCATTTGTTTGCATTAAATGGGTTACTTTTTTTTTTTTTTTAAGATTTTATTTATTTATTGACAGAGAGAGAGAGAGACAGAGAGAGAGAGGGAACACAAGCGGGGAGTGAGAGAAGGAGAAGAAGGCTTCCCACTGAGCAGGGAGCCCGATGCAGGGCTCGATGCAAGGCTCAATCCCAAGACCCTGGGATCATGACCCGAGCCGAAGGCAGACGCTTAACAACTGAGCCACCTAGGCACCCCTTAAATGGGTTACTTCTAATGTACCACGTATTCTAAGTATTTCCTGGTTTCCTACAGATATTTTTATTTAAACGAAGTTTGGATCAGCTAGAGCCTTCACTGATAAGGAAAAGGTAAATTTTATTTTTGCTGAATAATCATAAATCCTGAATTAACAACATCCAAATTATTGGAATTTTGCAGCATTAATGCTGATCAATTTGGATAGTGTCCAAAACCTTGCTTGGGCCCTGGACCCAGCTTGCATAACTATATACTTTTCTCTTTCTAATTTTCAAATCAAATTCATTGGCCTACTCTCTCCTCTTGAAATCAGAGTTTGCAGCCTCCTGGCTTTCCTCCAAAAGTCTTTCATTGTTTCACAAGCCATCCTTGTTTTCAATTCATCCTTCTTTATCCACTGTGTAAGCTAGGTGGACCTGAAAACTTAGGAAAAATCTTAAAGCATTTGGTTGTTATTAGAGTAAGGATAGCTGACTCACACATGTAAAACATTAAAGGAAACTTACAAATGTTTGAGTGATTTTTTTTTTCTTTTGTTGTTGTTTGGGACTGTGGGGTATTTAACCACGTCCTGCCATGCATAGAGCACTTGAGCTTCTTTTTTTATTACCAGGTGTAGTTAGGTATAGGCTAATAAAACAAACAAGGACAATATTTTTATTTTCTTTTCCCAGCATTTTTATTGATTTATTTAAAGGTAACATACTATACACTGTTCAGCCTTTTGGGAGGTAGGAGGAGGGAGGGATTCTATATCTTTATGAGGAGTCTCCTCGGAACCAGCGCTCAGATGGACACACGTTTGTGGCTGACAGACCTTGACATCGTGGCCAGGGGCCACACTTCCCGCAGAGGTTGAGCTCCCAAAATCATCATGATTTTTTTTTTAACATACACTATTCAGGGCTGGAAGTGCCTTTTCTTCAGTAGCACAATCCAGCTGCAAAGGGGACCAGAATTCTATTTCAATATCAAGCAAGATGCCGTTTTTAAATGCAGGAGAATCTCCTTTCTCCTTACCAGACTGTTTTTGTCCTTATCTGTGTGTGTGTGTGTGTGTGTGTGTGTGTGTGTGATGTTGGGGTGTGGGTGGGGGTGAGGGAGATGTTTTCTATTTTTGGCTCTGCAAGCTTTGATATATTTTGCTAGAAGCTGTTTTAGTGTTTGGAGTCCGATAATGATGCCTGTTTACACATAGTCTCCTTGGTAATCTAAATGGCTATGTGAAATACGAATCCAGTTTGTGCCCTGTTTGCTGTTCATGCAGTCATCTAATCCTATATTTGTCTCACCAAACATTTAATTTTGGTTTTGGGTGGTCTGTGTTCGTGTGTCAGGTGCAATTATTATTTTAAAATAAAAGAACAAAGATAATCTAGTTCTGATAGCAATACATAACATTATAGGTCTCAGACTCAGTTACCAATTACATTTTCACATACAGATTCCAACCACAAAAATTAAACATTTTTAGAATCTGATTTGTTAAGAAGCAAGTTGGAAGCTAAGTGCCATCAAATGCAACTTTAGCCATAAGCCAAAACTCTCTGCCTCAAATATGTATCTTTTGAAATCCCAACTTTTTTAAGGAATGAAAAATAAGTAAGATCTTTTATGGGATGACTTTATGGGAAAGTTTCTTTTAAAACTAATTCTTAAATAACAGATTAACTGGAAGTGCTGGTTAAGCATTGACACAATTAAGTTATAAGAGAAGATCACAAAACACCAGCCTTTCTAGAGGTTAAACTTTAGTAAAAAGACACATTTAGTGAATCTTTCCCTTGTACCAAAATACTGTGTCCGAACAATAAAAATAAACAGACCTTTTCAAAACAAGAAATATGAAGATAAAACTGCAGCATCAATATAATCTTATAGTTATCACTTAAAGTATTTAAAACAAATAATATTTTTCTACACTTTTTAAAAAAAATCACTACAGACACTGCAAATAAGGCTTATGTATTTATTTACTGGAATACAATGTGATGATGACTGGTATACTCTTATGTATTGTTTTCTATACCTGCTCTAACAAAATGAATTTTGATATGGTTACATGATGGAATCTTCCAAAGCTCTTTAAATTGACAGAAAATAAGTTTTATTTGGTTTTGTAAAGACTAGATCATACAGCTCGAACAGGTTTCAGTATATGGTTACACATATACGAGGATATATTTGCTCAGTTTAAGCCCCTGGGAGAGTTACACTTCAAATTCCTTGATAATTCCTTTGGGGGAAATGCACTCTGTGGGACTTATAAAGGGTTCTTATATATGCAGACAGCCTCTTCATCACTTACCACCGTGACACACGGCAAAAAATCGTTGGGAAATAATGAGGCTGGGCTACTAAAATTTATTTAACAATTTTCCTTCTTTTAGTATATTCTTAGAGCCCCATTAGTGTATTGAAAGAGAAGAATTTGGCCTTCTGGTCTATTTTTTTTTTATGAAAGGAAGCCTTAGGAGTGATCGATGTTTTTAAACGATGGCAGATATCTCTCATCAAGCCATGCCACAACACTGTCATATTTATTGTGGATGGTTCTTATTGCAGGAGTGATATTAAGTTAACTCATAGCACATGGGGCTCTCACCCTGCTTCCCTATCTCCTCTCCTATTCTTGAAGTGTTTGCCAAGTTTTAAAAACACTTTGTCATGAACATGCATGTGGTGTGCTGAAGAAAAAGAAAAGGTAAATCAGAGGGCAGCTGCTGAGGATACTCTTTAAAACCCCAAAAGATATTTAACATCCTATTAAATAAATAACTTAGAACGAAATAGAAAGGGATGAAGGCAGAATGCACAAGCATACCGTACTATTTGTTTTGTTAGAACAGTTTAACACTAACATGTTTACATTTTTTTAATTCTTATCCAACTCTTCCATGATGCCACGCCCAAAGCTCCTTTGGTTGTGCATATGATGTGACCCAAGTGCTTTCCAGTAAATGCTTGCATGTCTTACTGCTCATTGAATCATTAGGCTTGCATGAGCAATGAAAGTCTTTGATATGAGTTCGTATTCCATAAATAACTTTCCCGACGATCCAACAGATTGTTCCATGTCCTTCAAGTTCTAGCTCAGAGGTTAAAAAACAAGAACAGAAACAAAAACTTCTCCAAAAACCCAGCCACAATGTTGTTTGCTTAGGAATAACTTCCATCCCATGTAACTCTGCCTATATCTCGATTATAAGGCATGACACAGAACTAATTAAAAGAACATCATATGTCAGCAGTGAGTACAAAACCTTCAAAGACTTCTTTTGTTCAAGCAAGCAGACATCTGACATCTGCAGTATGTCTCTGCCTTTTGAGCTACTGTCTTCATGAAGAATACCAACTAGTCCTGGCAAAAGAACCTTTGGTTCTCCTGCATCCACAAACCTTGCCTTCCTCTATGAGTGTACCACCATTGGAAGAAAATGAGCTGAGGTGTTTTTTCTTCGTGTTTTCTGTCCTCTCCGGGGAGCTCCTTTTCCATTCAATGCCACGTACATTTGCCTCCCATTGTGTTGCCAGTTGAAGGATGCGTACGTATTGTATCCATTTTCCTCTATCCTCTCCTTCAGCTTACAGTCATTGTTAAATTCTTTCTGCAAGGGGAAAATAAGATCTTTTATTCTGGGGATGATGATACTTACTTTCATTTGACACACACCATCCAGAGAACTCCAGTGCAAGAGTTTTGTTTGCTGTTGCCATTTGTACGTAAGTTGTGTACTTAATGTGTGGTGTCAACAGTAGAAGAGTAGAACTCACAACCACAAAACAGGTTCTGTGTTTGAAGGCTCATGATTCACTTTAATTGATCATCATAACCACATGTTAGGGCCCTTTTAAAAAGCTGGTGTGTTTTGAATATGACATGGCTTAAGTGCCTAGAATGATTGTCAAGAAGCAAAGGTTCCACTATCGGTATTTGTGATGAGTCAATGATAAAGAATAGTGTTATAATCCTTTTTTTTTTTCCTTCAGAATAATGACCAGGGGTCTCATGGGGAAAACAGAATTACAGAAAAAACTTGGGCTTATCAAGTTTGCAAACTTTACCTATAAATCCATAATAAATACACCCACATTGGTAAGAAAGCAGATCATATAACAAAATCATAATCATTCTAGATAACCAAGAGGGCCAGGGAACAGTGGGGGGAAGTTTTCCTTTTTTACAAATACTAGATTTCTCTATTTTGGTAGATAATATACAATTTTCCATAACTTGGAATTTTAATAGATTTACTCTGAGGTCTAAAATGATTGAAAACTAGGACATGGAATGCCTTGCTTTGTGAATTATCATATCAAAGAAATTACAAACATGGTGACTATCACTGCCTTTATTGTATAAACCTGAGACTTTGGTCCTGGGAAATTCCACTCTATAGCCATAGTCCTTTGGCTTTGTTTCAAGTGGCCATGTGTTTTAAGGGGATTTTTGGGACAAGAATTGATGTTTCCTTCATTCCATAAATCCAGTATCTTTCTCTGGAGTTACTGATGAAGAGTAACCACTAATCTCAAAACTCTGGCTTTAGAAATGTCCCTCCAGGGGCTCCTGGGTGGCTCAGTCATTAAGCATCTGCCTTCGGCTCAGGTCATGATCTCAGGATCCTAGGATCGAGCCCCGCATCGGGCTCCCTGCTGCTCGGGAAGCCGGCTTCTCCCTCTCCCACTCCTGCTGCTTGTGTTCCCTCTCTCACTGTGTCTCTCTCTGTCAAATAAATAAAATCTTAAAAAAAAAAAAAAAAGAAATGTCCCTCTTCTCTTATATCCATATTAAAGCAGATAAGAAGCTAAGGAATACGGGATTTTGCTCTTCTGGTTCTATGTTTTCCAATCCAAACCAAGAGTATCGTAGGGATCTTTTAGTTGGCCTCTCCTGGGCAGTTTTTCTCACCTTGGGATTTAAAAATTTTTTTTTTACTAAATTCTCAATTCCTGAATGTGTGTATATTTAAGTATCTGGGTTTCTGTGAACTAGATCATCATTTTGAACATTATCAGAACGATCACAAACATAGTTTGTCTAAAACTATATGGCTTCAAAGCAGTGATTTTTTTTATGTGAATAATCATATTCATTCTAATAAAGGGGATGCAGTTTAGAGACTGTGGGAGGATTGGGGTTATTTGAGATGATTTTATATTTGCAACAGAGCTGTGTATAGAAAAGTAGCAGCAGATACTTATTTTTCCTTTCCAAAATAAATTTATAGAGTAATGTCTCTTTTTTTTTATTTTTTATTTTTTTTATTTATTTATTTTTTTCTCGTCTCTCTTTTTTTTTTTTTTAAAGATTTGTTTATTTGAGAGAGAGACAGAACACGTGTGCGGATATCTCAAGCAGACTCCCGTTGAGTGCGGAGCCTGATGCCAGGCTTGAACTCATTACCCTGAGATTATGACCTGACTTGAAACCAAGAGTCATTTGCTCAATTGACTGAACCACCCATGTGCCCCTAGAACAATGTCTCCAAGTGAGGTATACCTGCAGCAGATTCCTAATCTCAGGTGTTTTTTTAGTATTTATACCTTAGCTCAGATGTATCAGAATCTCTGGAGGAGGGACCTAGGAATCTATGTGTTTACAGCATTTAGGCGAGTCATACTTAAGAAAGTCAAAAAAAAAAAAAACAAAAAAAAGGAAAGGTCTTGGGGCTATGCTCTTGGTGGATCTGAGTGCTGAGGGTATAGTGTGGGATAAGGCAGCCCCTGTCCAATTTAAGCTCACAATTTATTGGGGGAAGGCAGTCAAGAATAAACACATTCATGAGAGAATTTCTGATAAATCTCATTGCAGATAACTAAAAGGGGGTGCTATGATAGAAAGCAATGGGCATCTACTTTAGATACAGAAATGATGAAACAATGAAATTATTCATACATCTTAGAGTTTAGTAAGAAGCATAGACACAGTATGCGAGTAGTGTTGGGATAGAAGAAAAAGGTTATTAAATATTTTTATGACCCTGTTCATTTAAGAATTCTCCATTTCTCTCTGACGCCACCTTTTTAAAGAGGTATACTTTATCAATTAAAAGTTATTTCAATCTTTTATTGCAATTTAAATTGTTTACCTTTTTTTCTCTCAATTTAAATTCGTGTTGATCTGACTTTAAAGTTTTGGTTTTGACTAAGTGTATTAGTATCTCTGCAAGGAATATAAACCTGGTCCTCTTACCCAGTGATTCTGATAATAGTAGATTAAGGAGGGATTCAAACATGTTCATTCAAGAAAATAAAAAATGCCTCAAAAGTGATTATGCTGTGAACCCCTGAATGGTACCACTTTTTAAAATGACCCATTATTGGGGCACCTGGGTGGCTCAGTTGTTAAGCGTCTGCCTTCCACTCAGGTCGTGATCCCAGGGCCCTGGGATGGAGCCCCGCATCGGGCTCCCTGCTCCGCGGGAAGCCTGCTTCTCCCTCTCCCACTCCCCCTGCTTGTGTCCCCTCTCTCGCTGTCTCTCTCTCTGTCAAATAAATAAATAAAATCTTTAAAAAAATAATAAAAAAATGGCCCATTTCTCTCCTGGGCTCATGAGCAGAGCTGCACATAATGGAAAATTTTAAAATTCCCTTAACCACGTCCCTCCCCCTGCCATGCAAAAGGCAGTTACCCCAGACAAAGGGACTGGCCCACAGTGTGTGTGCCCAACTCCCCAGTTATGAGTGGATCTGATACAAATGAAATATAAGACTATACTATAATCAGACCAGTGGTTCTTAAGTTGGGTTATCAAAGTGTTGCATCAGGAACACCTGGAACCTTGTTAGAAATGCAAATTCTTAGATCTTATCACAGCTTTAATGTATCAAAAAATCCTTCCCAGTGATTGTGGTCAAGTTTGGGAGCTGCTGGTCTAGGCAGGCAGTGCAATTGTCCTTATGCTAATCAACAAAATAAGGTTATTTGCACATTTTGAAGTGATATTCCTTAATCCTTGCTATGAAACTCAGAGATGTATGTACCCAAAGCATTGGCTGGGTACCAGCTGCATCAATGAACTAATGACTGTTGTCTAGGTAAATAAAATTATGAAGTTGATTGAAGGCACACACAAATGGTGAATTTCTTAATCTGCCTCCCCATCTCATATTTTAACAGAATACAAAATACCAAACCCCTGTTTTATCTTCTGCTCTAAAACACACACAGTGTATGGTTTCCTATGCAATTTAAGATCTTTGTTTTCAATGATTCTTCTCCAAGTTGTCTGCAGCACCCGTGCCAATCTGACCAGATGCTTCCGTGAGAGTCTGACCTGTTAACAGTTCAGAGCACGGACTGACGAAAGCCAGCAACAGCCTGTGTGGTAGACTGAAGGGTGAACAACAGAGGAAATTACACAGTTGCAAGAGCTGCTTTGCCAGCTCTTGAAACTCTGGTGACCAGCCCACCGTGGCTCTATTTACTAGCAATAGAATGATAACAAAGCTCTTCAGTGTCTGAGGGAAACAGTCCAAAACTCTGGTAATGATTTACTGCAGCGGACTTGGAAAACTAAAGCAGAATACTTACTGAGCCATAGAGTTTCCCCTTCTTGTTCATGGCTAAATAATAGTTGCTGTTAATGGCTTTGACGGCAACAACTCCGATTTCCACTGAAGTTATCTCTAGGATACCTAAAACATACAATAAAAAAAAGCGCTAAATTTAAAGGGTCACATATATTTAGGTGAAAGAAAGAGAAAATCAGAACTATTGAGTTTTAATTTCTGATCATTCTAAAATTAGTAGATTTTTTTAAAAAGATTTTATTTATTTATTTGAGACAGAGAGAATGAGAGACAGAGAGCATGAGCGGGAGGAGGGTCAGAGGGAGAAGCAGACTCCCTGCTGAGCAGGGAGCCCGATGCGGGACTCGATCCAGGGACTCCAGGATCATGACCTGAGCCGAAGGCAGTCGCTTAACCAACTGTGCCACCCAGGCGCCCTAAAATTAGTAGATTTTTAAAAACTGGGGGCATCCGGGTGGCTCAGTCAGTTAAGCAAACGGCTCTTGATTTCAGCTCAGGTCCTGATCTCAGGGTGATGAGATTGAGCCCCGTGTCAGGCTCTCCACTCAGCGCGGAGTCTGTTTAAGATTCTCTTTCTCCTTCTCCCTCTGCCCCTTTCCCCCCCACTCTCTCTCTCTGTCTCTCAAATAAATCAATCTTTAAAAAAAATAAAAATTAAAAAAATTAAAAATTGGAAAAAAAAATCTCTTTCGATGTGCCTAACTATATTGAAACAAGTAGTAAGTCTTTAAAAGAATTCCCTTATATTTTACTCTGAGCATATAAAGAAAAATATTGTTTTAATTAAAATGCTTCCTTTGCTAACTCTGCATTTTCAACCCCATAAATATTGAAACAACTCTATCTTAGCCTGGATTTCACAAAAACTTATCAGAGCACACATCTGTACTATGGTATTAAATTAAATCCATAGCATATGTCAATAATATGTCAGATTTGCCTCAATCTGTAAAAACAGTGGTAAACTATTTCTCCTTTGTAGGACACTTAGATAAACTAAATCTCTTGGCTACATTTAACTGATAAATTCAGTTTTGGAAAATGTGTTGACATTCTGTGATACAGAAAGTCTAATCCCAACATCCACATTGTCTTTAAAATAGCAAAATCACCACTTTGGGTTGGGAGAATATCCAGTATCCATCAGCATTTTTAAAGGCTTTTTTTTCCCCCTAGAAAGAATGGAAAACTGAGGGAATTTGTAACTAATAGACAAGAGAACTTTTTCCCTCATACACATGTTTTGGTTGGTGCATCTAAAGGTAATTTTCTCTGAAAGGTCTGTAGGTAACTACAGGGAAAGCATTCGATATTTTACCTTGCCTTCGAGGTACAAACAAATACATCCATTTATTGGCATATTGAAAAATACTTTCTTGTAGTTCATTTCTTTAATTCTGACAACAGTCCTCTAAGAAGGTATTGCTATTCTTACTTACAGATGAAAAACAGAGGATATGAGATTATATAACTCACATATAAGATGCTAAAGTGACAGAGGTCAGTTATGATGGATCAAACACCTAAGCTTCTGGCTTTCAGACTGTTTCGCTCTCCATCTCTATTTACCTCTCTATCATATCTCCCCACCTTTTCCCATTCTCCCAAGGGAATCCTGTTGGAAAACCATCTGACAAAATGACTTATCAAGATAACAGTCTTTAATAGGCATGCCACAGAGGAAAATGTCTAAGTATCAGGGAAGGGACTCTAACGTACTTTATGTCACAAACAGAAGATACAGAGCAACGCAGGAGGTTGAAATCTTGGGCAAAATATTTAGGCCTGTATTTACTTTGTCTAAGAAACAAGCACTGTCAGTAAATTGCAAGTTGTTCCCTATGTATGCTTTTGTAACCAAAAATTGTTAGAATGAAAACATTGAAGGATGATTTTAGCAAAGAATAAAGCAGGATTTTGAAGGTGACAAAAAGAAAAACGTGATACAAATGTTACTAAATCCTTGACCAATCATTTCTGAGAGTGCATTGCACATGGTATAGTTAGCTTGGAAACCCCTGGATTTTTCTGCTTTGCACAAAACAGGAACTCAATAGTCAAAGAATTCATCAATCAATTAACCATTTTCCCACTCTGCAACCAGTTAAGACTAGTGTGAAAAAGTTCACTATGCTTTGAAATAGAAAGTGGGAAGACCTAGATGACTTAAGATTTTTTCAAATTCTGAAAAGAATTTTTTGTGTATGTCAGTAAAGTATAATCTGATAATTTTGTGGTAATGAACAATGACTGTCTTTATTATAAACATCTGTTAATATGAAAGTGACTTTCTGAGGGGCTCAAGTGTAGCAGACTTGTCCATTTTTTTAATGAAGAACCTCTTCAGTGTTCTCTGTCCTTTGGTAAGGATGATTAAGTTTGCTTATAAAAGTCTTTTTTGAAAAAGAGAACCAGAATTCTACTTGATGGTTGTTGGACTAATAACTTAGCATTCTATATTTGTATATTTTGATGCAAAATTAAATGCCAATTGAAGGATGACCTCCTAGGGGAAAGTAAGTGAAAGGCATACAGATTTCTCTGTATTTCTTACAATTTTTGTGAATCTACAATTATCTCAAAAGTTATAAAGTACTGTTTTGTTACTTAAAGAAACTAACTCCTGAAAATTATATCATTAATGAAAGGGAACATAAATTATATTTCTTATTCATGTAAGTCAGGTATTTTCTAAATTTGAAGACATATTCTTGTAGTGAAATTCTATTACTTACATTAAGTTTTAACCACATCAGTTTTGATGTCTCTTAAAAGATGAATATGCCAGGTGGTATCTAAATCTATTTAAGAGCTTTTGGACAGTTTAATTCAAACACATAGGAAGACCTGTGGGGAGAAGGGTACTCTTTTAGGAAATGGGAACATAAAGCCAAGTAAGTTACGGCTTTCCGTGAGCAAAATCTATGCTGTATTGGAAGTAAAAGACAAATACGCAGAGAATTACAATAAAACATATTAAGTGATAGTACGAGCTAAGATAGAAGATAAAAGAGGCAAAAATAAAAGTAGTCCATATTGGCTGGGGCTCCAAGGCAGACTTACTATTTGGAGCTGAGACTTGAATTGGGTTTTGAAGGTTGAATAAGAAGCATCCAGGGGAAAGGTGGGAACACATGAACAAAAGCATTAAGATGAAACAGTGTGGTGTTTTCAGAAAATCATGTTTGACTTATCAACTAGAGAACAAGAAACAAGGCAGGAAGTCATGAGAAGAGAGGTTAGGGAGTTAAGTAATACTTAAGGTATCAACCATCTTGTATGGACTCTAAGAATTTTGGCAAATAGGAAGTATTTTATCTAAAACTATATGACTTTAAAAAACATGTTAGAAAGATCCAATATTTGGCAAATTTATTTAAGGAAATAATATCAATCTCTAAAGTTTATTTTGAATTATATTTGAAATCCTATATAATAAAGTTTGATTATCGACATTACAAGTGATTGCAACATAAATCAGCGCCTGTTAATGGGCACATTCTACCTGAGAATGCATCATCACCATAGTAATGGGGAAGATTTTGCAAACTGATGAAATCCAAATGGAAATAACCTAGAAGTCACAATTTTCATGTAAATCATCTTTTCTTTTAACTTGCCAACGCATGAGTTATGTTTTGATGAATCATTGAGTAGTTAATCTGAGAAGGGCCATTCACAAGTTTCTTTCCCAGTTCATGCTTCTCATCCTTCTCCAGAAGAGAAGCATCTGACCCATTTTCTCCCTAGCAATCACCCTGGACCAAGAATACTTCTCTTTTTGGGCTATTAGAATAAACAAACTATTGGCCAGCATGATAACTTTCTCCTTAAACATTTTTTCATGACACAACAGGAGAAAGTAAAAGGCAAGTAAAACTTTAATAAAATGGATATAGACAGAGGGAAAGCTAGATGTAAAAAACAAATGCAAAATCCCATTATCCTCTCCTAAATAAATAAAACATGAATATATAAGAAATCCTAGAGATTCTTTGAGTAAATTAAATAATGTATTAAGCACAAATGTGTAGGATTTGTGTTAGCTCTTACTATGGAGGATGCAAAAACAAACAAGACACAGCCCTTACCTTCAAGGAGCTTTAAAACTGGGTAGAATAAGGACACATATAATTAAAGTACTTACAATACAAAGAAAATATTCTAAGAGGTACATGAGAGAGAAAATACATTGTCTTGGTTTTAAATAGTAAAGTTATTGTCCTGAAGATGGTTGATGTTTGAGGTGAACCTGTCAGGCGTAGGATTTTAGTAGGTGAGAATTTGCAAAGTTGAGAGAAATAGTCTATGCAGAGAAAAATGAAGGAGTGAAGAAAGGCCTCGGGGAGAGAAAAGGATTCAGTTTGTATTTGAGCTATGGTTGGCTCTCCCCACCAATCGTACTTTGTGGGGACCACTCAGTAAAAGTATAGATTGTACTTCATTGAGTAGCAGTGGTGCTGTCCTGCGCGAGGAATGTACTTTTCAAAAACTTTTTTGTGAACTTTGGAAGCAGCTCCGTAAATGTCAGAGCCTCATGAATTCAGAATCAGTCACATCTATTATTTTGCTCTAAATATTTTACTCAAAATTATAATGCTCTATAGTTTGATAGTTTTAGTTAATGTGCTGAAACATATTATGATTAGTATAATGTAATACACAAATCCTAACTTCTCTAAACTAAATCTCTTTCTCATGAATTGTTGTCAAGTGTCCCACTTTTATATTATATTATATTATATTATATTATATTATATTATATTATATTATATTATATTATATTATATTATATCCTAATATAAAAAAGCCTATGGAACTCCCCAGAGTTATCACATTTACACCATATACCTTAGTGATTATGTGGCCATACTCTACCGTGTGGTGCTAAATGGCTCCAAGTGTGGTCTGGAGAATCACCAGAGATCATACCTCTTTCAGTGTGTATCTTTCTCAAAGAGCCATAGCAATTGCAGTGATCTTCTTCTTTTTATTAGAACAGGACGTGCATACATAATTTATAATATGTGCTCAATATATTTTTATTGAATGAATTATTTTATTGAATGAATCAATGAATGATCAGTCCAGCAACTGGCTGAGTA